AGTTTTGGGACTGACATTGTTTGCTAAATTCCTTTTTAAGCGAGCAGTTCAGTTTCTAAGAAGTAACGTGGGGAAGCTTGAAAAATTATCCTTTCCCCTGCAACTCAGGTTAGTTTCTGCTCACACTCTTTACTCCTCTCTTGACTTGGGGTGGACTCTGAGTGTTTGTTGGTATTTGGTCTTGGAAGCTCTGCCTCACACTCCCTTGGAAATATTGGAAACTTTAAAGCATTTGGGCAGGGAATGGGTAAGATCCAGTTTAATTTAAGGCTCTCAGGATCCATCTTAATAATAGTCTGTTCCCACGAGGGAGAAATGAAAGGCAAGGCTTACATCAGCCTAGTCTCTTCACTTTCTTAGGAATCTAAATGTTCCCAAGGTCAAAAACAGTGTGAAATAACTCTCTAAACCCATCTTGGAGGGCACTACATTAGAAATACAGTGAATGGAAATTGCTCTTTAACTGGACGTGAGTCTCATTTTAAGTGCTACTGTTTATATTTTTTATGTCCTGCCTTTCTTTTCATGTTGAATTTGTTTCACCTTGTAAAGATTAAGAAGAGCATGTTCTACTTTTTAAACGTGAGAATTGAATTAATAGTTTTTAGATTAAAAATGGTCCCCTGTTTTCTTCTACCAAAGGTAGTACATGCCCACAAACTTTGGACCTCACTAATATAAAGTGTCATATGAAGTTTTTCACTAATTCAGCATTTAAAGCTTTTTATTTTTTCCTTGATTTATGACACAGATGTTTCTTGAAAAAAATGCAAGGACTATATGCACTCTGATTAGATCACATTCTTTGTGTCTCTCTCACATTTAGTGGAGGCTACTAATCGAATCCTGATATATTTTTTATGCACTTTTCAAATTTAATTTATCATGTCAAGACGGCTGTTTGGTGTGTTGACCCTGCCGTATTGCATCATAATAATCTGTTCATGTCTCTTTTTCCCATACGATGTGCTGTGTTTATTAAGGGTAGGGTTGTATTATCCCTCATCATCATGTGCCTCCAGTCTCTTAGGATGTTGGCTGTAGCCACTTTAGGCTACTGAGACTTACTTCTAAACAGGGAAACTCCATCATTCCAGAAGTCATGCTAATTCCCTCTGGTTCAACCTCACATTCTGTGCAGTAATGTAATCTGACTTTTGGAGAAATTGATTCATACTGTTTTGAAGAAATACAATATTAGGTGGCTGAATCCAGGATAAAAAGAGGTACCTTGCTGCATGGGCAATATTGACACTGCTGATGCATCCTTTTTAAAATAATGCAGCTAACTTTCCTTCTCATCCACCCTTCCTTCCTCTTCTTCAAATTTCCTCTAATATCAGCATCTTTCCTGGTTTACCCAGTATTGCCATCTGGAAGCTACTTTTTGATCACTTGGTATTTCAAGATATTTCTTTTCTAAAGCTTATTTCTTAATAAACAAAATTTCACACAAAACCAGTGTTAAAAATGGCATAGCTTGTGCTGATTAATGGGAGATGTAATAATTAGTCAAAATATCTCTGATGTGAAAGTGTTGCAGAATTCTTTGTGAAATTAAAGTTACGTTTACAAGGTTATTGAGTCTTTGTGGACGAGCTTTTATACTTTTTTAGATGTTTTGGGGTAGGGGAGTTTTGATGATAGAAATACATTCTTAATTAGTAGTAATCAAATCCTTTATTAACCACTCGTCATTTTGGTGTTATGATGAGCAGCAGTCAGTGGGCCTAGGGAAAATTGGCCAAATATGGAAAATTTTCATAATAAGGAAAAAACATTTCGTCTAGAAAGAAGATGTATTGTTGTTGCCTTTCTTCCTCCTGTGGCTCAATGGTTAGAGATAATTATATTCTTGGATTTTGTTTTCAAAATTGGAAGTTATTTAAAAAAAGTGAGAAGGGGAATTAAAGCACGTAATGTATAGCAAAATAATATTAAACAACAACAAAGCCCCACCGTTATTTAAAAGACAAAAACCATATGCTGTGATAATAAATTTAAATGACATTGGATAGTACAGTTAGATGTCAGTTCATATCTTGTTGTGAATTACAACTTCTAAAAACTGATCTTTTAAAAATAATGCATTTCCAAGGTGATCATTTACACGTGTATGGTATGTGCATGTATTTAAAAACTAGATATAAAATAAATACAAATATATATTCTCATCTGTGAAAATTAAGGTAATACAACACTGTTGCATTCACATATTTTTAACAACTTGAATTTAAGTTTCTTTAAAGACTAAAGGCAAAACTATATCTTTTTCCACTGCCTTAGTTTATGCAAAATGTAAAAAAAAAAAATGTGGTGATCCACTTGCAGGAATTAAGAAAGTTGAACTCTTACCTACATTTGATAATTTAAAACTGATTATTTAATTTATATAGGTACTAGTGATTACTACAGCTTCTAGACTGTAAATTATAAAGATAAAATGTTAGTAGTTCTGCTTTAAAGTATAGTTGATCACATAGCTGAGATGGGTAATCACTGGCATTGTGCTTCAGACTTTAGATCTAACAAATAAAAATGAAAAACATTTGGATATGATTAAAGAACAAAGGCATAAGTGGATGGAGAGCAACCAATTCAGACATAAGGAACAGTTGGTTTACCCTAATTATAGCCATATTGATGTTTTCTTTTTTTTTCCCCCTGTATCTATCAATTGGAAGTTTGGTGGAAAATTAACCCTTTTGCCTAATTATATAAGTAAATTTGTTGCAGATTTTCTAAAATGACTTTATGTTCTTCCTTCAACTCAAATTTCAAAAGTCAGTTGCAGCTTGTACTGGCCACAATTCTTCCCTTTGATCTAGTTCTATAGTTCCGTTTTCATTTCCTACAACTGAATTTCTTGTATCTACCATACATACTAAATGAGGATGTATTGACATAAATGCTAAGATCAAAGTTGACTAAAGAACTTTCACATTTGGATTAGGCTGAATTGTGTGGAAGTGTGGCTGAATCTAAGAAAGAAAATAATGGAATATTATGTATAACCGTAATGACTTTGCAGATTGTTTACTGTTGCTAAGCATTAAAATATGGCCTAAATTTCTGATTCCTCTTTGTGATAAGTCTTCTCATAGATTATAAACATTATGGAAATTGGGACAGTTTTGGTTTTCCAATAGAGCTGAATTCATTGAGGTATAGAGTACTTTATACTATTGTTTTCCTTTCATTCCTATTTTTCCCGCTTTTTATCATGAGTACCTTCCTTTATTCTGTATTCATCTTACATGGGAAGTTATAGGTTCCTTTTCTAAATGTTTTAGAAAGAGTGATACTCATTGACATTATTGACAGGTGCATATTGTGTAATGTCTTTGGTACCTAACATGTTTTTGCTTGTTATTTGAGAGTCATTAAACACAAATACATGAATGAAAACGGGGCAAAGAACCATATCTCTTAGTGTCATAGGCTTATTGAAATATTGTATAGTTTTAAATGCATTGCAAATGTGATGGCTTTTTCTGTTAATTATCCTCTATGTTTAGTCCTAAAGCAATTGCCTCCCCCTTCTCCTCACCCTTGACCCCTCACCACACACACAAAAGCAGCTGAAGCTTCAAAATGGAAAGATATTATATATATGTATCTACTGAGTTCTGGTGATTCTGAGTAAACAGGAATATAAAGAAGCATGGTCAGTTCAAAATTGAAAAGCTCTTTAGTGTTTTGTGTTTCAATTGCTTCTTTACTGGTTAACTCCAGCAGTTTTGGGCTGATTAAGATAATGTTATAAAGTTCTTACGAAGTGGCAGGAAGGAGTGCAGGTGATAGTAGTATTCTGAAGTATGAATCATGTTTTAAACCCTGTCAGAATCCCCAGAACTTACCATGGTAATTACAGTGAAGATAACACCTGTCTTTCCCAACATTCTAAACCACTTTTTTCATACTACCATAACTTTTTCTGTCTTTTTTTTTTTTATGTTTATTTATTTATTTAGAGAGAGCGAGAGCACAAGCGGTGGGGGGGGGGGGCAGAGAGAGAGGGAGAGAATCCCAAGTAGGCTCCGTGCTGTAAGCACAGAGCCCGGTGTGGGGCTCGAACTCACAAACCGGGAGATCATGACCTGAACCAAAATCAAGCGTCAGACGCTTAACCTACTAAGCCACCTGGGTGCCGTGTACCATAACTTTTCTTCCTAAAACAGATTTAATCATGTGCTCCGTCTTTTTAATCCATTTTGGTTCCCTGTTCCTTCTAGCAGTAGCTCCTCACAAGGGGAGTACAGTAGAATTGCTCAAGGAGCTTCTGAAATATAAGCATATCTGGAGCCCATCAATAGAAACTCTCATTTCTTAGTGGGAGTAGAAGCGTATTTGACAAAAAGTTTGGTCATTGTTCCAGATGCCTCTTTATTTCACGTCCTCACCAAACTTTCTCACCCTGTGTCATGCCATTTTCTTCCATCTTTTTCTGCTCTTCTCTAGCCATGCTAAACCTGGAAATGACATAAATAGTTCTATTCCATCCCTCTATACTTTTGTATAGAAGCTGTTGCTAATACCCTGATACCTTCTCCTTCCCTTCCTCCCTTTCACTCCAAGTCTTTCATCCGTCAAACTACTTAATTTTCCCTAGATCCTCCTCTGATGATAAATCTTTCCTTTCTTCCTCATGTAGAAATAGTCACTCTGACTTTTGTGTTCAGCATTTATATTTGATTATGATTTTTTTTTACCTCTCCCATTAAGCTGTGAGCTCATTGAAATCATGTAATTTATCTTGTTCTTGTTTATGTTAAATGAATACATGGATAAATATAAAATGAAAGCCTCTTAGGAATTTAAATGTATAGTTTATATGAACGTTGATTTTAGATGCATTATTCAGCTGAGGTTCATGATCAGCCACTAAGACCTATGTTAATACTATTCATAATTTTATTTTTCATAATATGTATTCCCATTAAAACTTAACGTGTGCCTATATATATATTTTTTTCATTTTCCCCCCTCTATGTCTACAGACGAAATCTCACCAAACTGTCCCTTATCTTCAGTCATATGCTGGCAGAAATTAAAGCAATCTTTCCTAATGGGCAATTCCAGGGAGATAACTTTCGTATCACGAAAGCAGACGCTGCTGAGTTCTGGAGAAAGTTTTTTGGAGACAAGTAAGTACAAATCATTATTATCATCTGCATCCATTTTTGAAGAATGACCTCATCTTACCTCTAGTTCCATATGGTATAGATTTTACTTGAATATTTTGAGACTGTACTTGAGCATATTTGATAAATGTTTTGATTGCTAATTTTTCTGTTTAGCCACCAAAAGTATGCCTTAGTTACTAAATAGTTTTATGTTTCTATAAAGCAAATAGCAGTCATACTATTATTTATTTGATGAGCATTCATTGAATTAAATAGTTTACCTCGAAGAAGCAGAGGTATAGAAGATGGAATCTCTCAGAAGCTCGTATCTTTTTTATAACTTAGTACACACCTAGGACACGTATATAAAATAAGAGGCAGAAAGGGATAGAGACTTTAAAAATGGCATAAATAAGTTTTTCTGACAATTCAGAGAGGGTAACAGTTGCTTCATGATTGAATGAATCAGGGACTGCTTCTTAGAGGAGGTGGTTAGTAAGCTTGGTTGAGAAGTGATATTCAGCTGAAAGAGAATACTTTAGCACCCCACTTCACGTTTTCTTTGTATCATTGCACAGAGTTTGAGTTGTGTAAACAAGATATAGAAATGAGGATCTTGTGTAAACAAGCTATAGAAGTGTTATCACGAAGTAGCTAGATAAAGATGATTTCCTTTAGATACTTCCTCCCCAGACACAAACTTTGGTGAGCACCCTCAGAATGTCCTTGAATGTAGACAGAATCCTGGCTGAGTATTAAAGGAGAGGAGTGATCACTTACACATAGATTATTGTTTTTATCCCCTTTTTAAATGTCTGTATTTATACATTCACTGGTGAAATGAGACCTATAAAATGTTGGTATATACTTTTGATGGTCTTCATCTTTTGACACTGGTAAATTAACTGTAACAGTGGGTTTCCCTTTTTTTTTTTTTTTTTTTTTTTTTTTTTTTTTTTTTTCTTCTATGAAGTACTCTGCTTATCTAAGTGCTAAGTGCTTAGCTTCTTAACTTTTGACTTTGGAAGTATTAAAGCCCTTTTCCTATTTCTTAAATAAAATATATTCTGAATGATTTTTTGGCACTAAAGGGGGAAATACGGTTTTTGCCACTAACATGGACATTTTGTGTTCCAGAAATCTAGCTATTTATAATGCTCCTATATGCATTCACAAATGAGAAATTAAAAGGAAAGGTTCATCCTCATCTAAATTAGAATAACAGCCAAAAGTATGCTAATTAAATATTTGTGGACTGTAGAAAGCAGAAAGGCATTGCCCAATTCTGGGCGTAAGAACCAAGAGGATTTCTTGAAGTCACAGCTCATGTATTAATACTTTGAGCCTAATGCAAACAGTTGGTAACCTTCAAAATATACTTTATCTTAAAATTTTAAGTAAACTTACAGGACAAAATGTTTGTGGTATTTCTTTTTGAAAACTGAAAATTCTGGTGAGTTATGAAATTGTTTGCTTGTCAAAAGGTCAGTAGAAAATGGAAAGATTGCTCACACGTTTTTTTTAAGAGCAGACTTTGTTTTGCTGGCACTTCGAGCCACAGAGAATTATGCATTTGAGGCCTCTTTATTTCCCTTTATTTATAACCATAGACATCAAGGGGCTGAAATTTCTTCCAACTGCTACATGAGTGAAAGCACTATTAAATCAAGTGGGGGATTCTTGAAATACTGATTAAATACCGTCCTTACCTCCAAAACCTTTATACCTTTTTCTTCTGTCTTCACTTCCTTGAGAAAGCTGTTCCATTTTTCTTTAATATTTTACTTTTGGGATGAGAGCCAAATTTAAAGCTCCTTCTGGAACTCAGACATATTTCCATAGTCATCAAAATTAATGATTCTTTTATTAGATCATTGGAGAAACCATCTTTATATTCTCTGTGGGTTTTCACCTTATTTCACAGTATTTTATTGAATGAGCAAGCAAATGAATGAATGATGTAGCCTTTCAAAAGGTTGAATTCTTTTATCTTCCTTATGCTCTAATACTAGTTTATATTTTCACATAACTTAGTTCTCATACGGAAGCATTTCTGTCATTTATCTCGCTACACATTGAGGCCATGTGAGAATGCTTTCATTTGATCTAACCAGTACCTTTAAACTTGAGACTAGTATTGTTTCTAAAAGCAGAAGCATTGAGGAGTTAGTTCTAAAAACAGCCAAACAGCTTATGATTTTTATAAAGTAGTTTTTAAGCTTAAGGAGTATTGTATTTTTTTTTTTTTCAAAGGAATGGTCATAGAGAAAAAGATATTATGCTCGGACTAAAATTGGGACAAAGCTATTTTTCAAGAGATTTTGTAAAACTCCCAAAGGCAATTTTGGTATTCAGATCTCATAAAAATAGGAAGCAGACAAGATTTTTTATTTTATTATTATTTTTTAATTTTAATTCCAGTGTAATTAACATACAGTGTTATATTAGTTTCAAGTGTACAATGTAGTGACTCAACATTTCCATGCATTACTCAGTTCTCATCATGATAAACATACTCTTAATCCCCATCACCTATTTCACTTAATCCACCACCCACCTTCTCTTTGGTAATTACCAGTTTTTTCTCTATTTAAGAGTTTTTTGTTTGTCTCTTTTTCTTTGTTCCTTAAACTCCACATACGAGTAAAATCATATGGTATTTGTCTTTCTCTAACTGACTTATTTCATGTAACATTAAACCTCTAGATCTATCTACGTTGTCGCAAATGGCAAGGTTTTGTTCTTTTTTATGGCTGAGTAATATTCCATTGTACATATATACCACCTCTTCTTTATCCAATCACCTATCTATGGACCGTTGGGCTGCTTCCATATTTGGGCTATTGTAAATAAATGCTGCAATGACATAGGGGTGCATGCATCTTTTGAAATTAGTGTTTTCATATTCTGCGGGTCAATACCCAGTAGGGGAATTACTGAATCATATGGTAATTCTAATTTTTTTAATGTTTATTTATTTTTGAGAGAGAGGATGTATGTGAGTGTGCCAGTGGGGGAGGGGCAGAGAGAGAAGGATTCAGAGGATCTGAAGCATACTCTGTGCTGAGAGCGGAGAGCCCAATGTGGGGCTCGAGCTCACAAACCATGAGATCATGACCTGAGCTGAAGTCAGACACTTAACCAGCTGAGCCACCCAGGTGCCCCACTAATTTTAAATTTTGAGGAACTTCCATACTGGTTTCCACAGTGGCTGCAGCAGTTGACATTCCTGCCAACAGTGCAAGAGGGTTCTTTTTTTTCCTCCACATCCTCACCAATACTTTTTTCTTGTGTTTTTGATTTTAGCCATTCTAACATATTTGAGGTGATAGCTCATTGTGGTTTTGATTTGCATTTCCTTGATGATTAGTGATGTTGAGCAGCTTTTCATGTATCTGTTAGCCATCTGGTTGTCTTTTCTTTTCTTTTTTTTTTTTTTTAATGTTTTTATTTATTTTTGAGACAGAGAGAGACAGAGCATGAGCAGGGGAGGGGCAGAGTGAGGGGGAGACACAGAATCTGAAGCAGGCTCCAGGCTCTAAGCTGTCAGCACAGAGCCCCACATGGGGCTTGAACTCATGGACCGCGAGATCATGACCCGAAGTTGGACGCCCAACTAACTGAGCCACCCAGATGCCCCAGATCTGGTTGTCTTTTCTAGACAAATGTCTATTCATATTTTCTGTCCGTTTTTTAATTTTATTATTTACTTTCTTTGGTGTTGAGTTGTATAAGTTCTTTATATATTTTGGATACTAACCCCTTATTGGATATGTCATTTACAAATAAATTCTCCCATTCAGTAGGTTGTCCTTTTGTTTCCTTTGCTGTGCAGAAGTTTTTGTTTTGTTTCGTTTTCTTTCTTCAAGTAAGCTCTATGCCCAACATGGGGCTTGAACTCGTGCTCCCAAGATCAAGAGTTGTGTGCTCTACCGACTGAACCAGCCAGGTGCCCCTAAAGCTTTTAAGTTTGATGTAGTCCAATTAGTTTATTTTGATTTTGTTTCCCTTGCCTCAGGAAACATATGTAGGAAAATGTTGCTACAACCAATGTCAGAGAAATTGCTTCCTGTGTTCTCTTCTAGGATTTCTATGGTTTCAAGTCTCACATTTATGTCTTTAATCCATTTTGAGTTTATTTTTGTTTATGGTGTAAGTAAGTGGTCCAGTTTCATTCTTTTGCATGTAGCTGTCTAGTTTTCCCAGCACTTGTTGAAGAGACTGTCTTTTTCCCATTGCCATATTCTTCCCTCTTTGTTGAAGATTAATTGACCGTATAATCATTGGTTTATTTCTGGGCTCCCTGTTCTGTTCCATTGATCTGTGTGTCTTATTTTTGTGCCCATACAGTAGTGTTTTGATTACTGCAGTTTTGTAGTGTGTCTTGAAATCTGAGATGGTGATACCTCCAGTTTTCTTCTCCTTTCTCAAGATTGTTTTGGCTATTTCAGGGTCTTTTGTGGTTCCATACAAATTCAAGGATTATTTGGTTTAGTTCTGTGAAAAATGCTGTTGGTATGTTGATACAGATTACATTAAATCCATAGATTGCTTTGGGTAGTATGGACATTTTAACAATATCTGTCCTCCCAATCCATGAGCATGGGAGGTCTTTCCATTTCTCTGTGTCATCTTCAATTTCTTCATCAGTGTTTTACAGTTTTCAGAGTTAAGGTCTTTCACTTCCTTGGTTAAGTTTATATCTAGGTATTTTACTCTTTTTCGTGCAAGTAATAATGGGATTGTTCTCTTGATTTCTCCTTCTGCTACTTCAATATTAGTGTATAGAAATGGAGAGATTTCTCTATGTTGAGTTGGTATCCCAGTAGACAAAAATTTTAGGTGTTACATGCCAAATACTTCCTTTCTGTGCTTCTCAACTTTTTGAAGTCATGGCAGGACCCACCTCTCTTCTCAGGACTCAAGCCCAGCTGCCAAGAGACTGTGCCTGACTGGAGTCCCAAGGAAAGTGAATAATACTCATGTGTCAGGTAAATTAGTTTGGAAGGTCTACATTTGTT